ATTAGGCCTTGTTTGTAAAATCGTGGGTTGAAAGCCTCTGATTTAGGGAGAGAGGTAAACTTTCTGGGTGAGGAAAGTAGCAATAGCAATGTATCCAAGCCAGGAATAAATAATTCACTAGCCCATTTTCTTTTTAAACTTAATTTCTAGTTTTATCAAATAGTTCAAGTACACAGATTAAAAAGCAACTAATACTATTTTTTAATTAGGATGAATATTTGGTTACTATTGTTTTGTAATTACTTTAAAATATTGTGGCTTAAAACAACCTCCTTAATGAATTGTGTGGTCAGTCATTGAGGAAGGGCACAGTGGGGCAGCTTTTCTCCAAGAACTCAGCTGAGCAGACTAGGAATGCTAGCAGAGCTCTGGCCTAAAGCATCTCCAGGTGGCCTGGGCTTCCTCACAACATGGCACCAGGGTAGTCAGATATTTTAGCATAGGCCCAGAGCTCCAAAGGTGAGTACTGCAATGAACAAGGCAGAAACTGCATGTCCCTTTCTGACCTAACCTCAAAAAGTAACTCAACCCTTTCCCCTTGCATTCTTTTGGTTACAAATGAGTCACAAAGCCTGTCTAGATTCAAGGAGAGGGGACATAGATTCCACTTCTCAAAGGATTGCAAAAGAGTTTATGGCCATTTATTTTTTAAAACCAGCACAGTGCATTTACTATTGTAACAGAAACCCAAAATTTCAGCAGTTTAATGGAATAAACATCTGTTTCTCATACAAAATCCATTGTGAATGTTCCTAGTCTGATGGCTGTCCTCCAAATCTTAGACTCAAGGACCCACATTTCTTTTTAGTGGTTTTGCCATCTCCTAGGACTTGGAGTCCACAGCTTATCTGACAAGAAAGAAAGCACGAATGACACAAGAAGTTTTAGGGATCAACTCTAAAAGTGGCACGTATCACTTTGTCCACATTCCATTAGTAAACATTTTGTCCCAAGGCCTCTACTTTAACTGCAAGAGGGTCTAGGAAATGTAGAGAAGCATACACAGTTTGCCACATTCTGGGTATTTAACCAAACAGTAATAGTTTTGCCACATTCTAGGTATTTAACCAAACCCTGTGGTCCTAACCTCTCCACTCTCTCTTCTCAATCCTCTCCAAATAATAATTCTCAAGTCTTTTCAACATTTATTATTTACTCAATACATCTAAAAAAAAGAACAATTACATAGCAATTTGTTTTTGATGTTTAAATTTTAGACAGTATCTGTTGACTGTCTTCTATGGAACTCAGTAATACAGATATTTTACAACACCATCTGTAAGTACATTAACATGCTCTAGCCCACTGCCCCACATATTCTTCTTCTACCCTCATCTCTCTATATAGTGATATCACAGTTTTCGGCTCAATCAGCGTTTATTGTAGTTACTACTATATCCAGATAAATATCATTCAACCCTTAACCACATAGTATACAATGATAACATTAACTTTTTTATTTTAATTTTATTGTGGTAAAATATATATAACAAACAGTTGCCATTTTAACCATTTTAAAGTGTAGAATTCAGTGACATTAATTACATTTGCCATGTTGTGCTACCATCACCACTATTCATTTTCAAATTCTTTTCATCACCCTAAAGAGAAACTCCAAACCCCTTAAGAAATAACTCCCAGGGACTGAGGCAGGGCCAAGATGGCAGAGTAGTCAGATGCTTCCAGTGGTCCCTCTTACAACAAAGACCCGAAAAAACAAATGAATGGATTATATATGACCATCTAGGAGCCCTGAACATCAAAGGCAAAGTTGAGGAATCGGACTGAGTGGTAGGGGAACGGAGAGGTGGTTCGGAAGCCGTGAGGAGTTGCCAGACCTGACTCGGCGGGAGCCGGAGCTCTTCAGGCTGGATAAGCTCATGTGCTTGGTGAGGCAAGCAGTGGCGCTCGAGAGGCATTTTCCACATCGGAAAAGGACCAGCAGCAGAGAGTCTACTCGGACATCTACAGCCAGTGAGATGTAGCCCTTGATGGGCAAAAGATAAGTACTTGGTTCTGGCCTACTGCACGGATCAAAAACACCCCTCTTTGGGAAAAACCTGTCTCCCATTTACCTCCCCGCTCCCTGCTCTGCACTGGGTCCAGGACGACTTCAATGATTGCCGAATCCCCTGGGCCAGAGGTAGGAACCGTCATGCACCCTGAGCTATTCTCTCGGCCTTGGAGAAGGAGCAAATTAACAAACAGGAAAAAATAATCTGCCGGCTCCCCTAACCCAGGAACTCAGGGTAGACACAGCTCCTTTGCCTAGGCTCAGGCATAAGGGGTCCATGGACTTTGAGAGACTTTTACCCCTGCGTACACTTGTGTGGGCCCATTTCAACACCATGGGCCCTCATTACCAAAGTACAACAGGGTAAAACCTGAAGTCTAACTTCAACTGTTTCAGCTGTGAAGTGGCAGGTTTGTGACATTTGACACTGCTGTGCCCATTAAGCAGGGTCTTCACCTACCCACATCAGGGGCCAGAGGCCTGGTGGCTCCACCCACGCCACCTAGCCACCTGTGAAAAGGATCCAAGAATAAGTGCTGCCCCCCAGTCCTTACACCCAACAGCATTGGGTGCTCATACTCTGGCTGGAAAACCCACCCACGTACGTGCTCTAGGGAACAGGGAGATGCTTTCCTCCCAGACACTTGGGCAGCCATCAGCCCCCTACCTTGCTCTACACGTGACCCACTACTGCAGCCAGATACCTGTGCCTACAACAATCATCCATGTCAGTCTAGGACTGTAGGTGACAGCCTGCAGCACATACTTGGTGACCGACTACCTGGTCACGTGAGCTGAAGCCATACAAGAAAAGTAAACAGAATCCTGTGCCTGCATACTTAGTAATAGATCTCACCACCTGGTGACAGTACATTAGAGCTTCAAAGGTGCCAATAATCAAACTAGATCACACGAGAAGCATATTTGGGCATATCAAAACATAACAAAACAAGAAACTAGAACAAAATAAGCAAACATAAATAATATAATAACTCATTGATGGTGCAGAGACAAGAGTCAGTATCAAATCACATAAAGAGGCAGACCATGATGGCTTCAGCAAGCTCCCAAAATAGAGAATTAAGAAATTTTCCAGAGGAAGAGAATTTCTTGGAATTACTGGAGAGAGAATACAAAAGATTAATATGCAGAACACTTCAAGAGATCAGGAAGGAGATCATACAAAATGCAGACCATGCTAAGGAACACAGACAAAGCAATAGAGGAACTTAATAATGACAAATTTAATAGCCTGCAAGACTCCATAGAGAGACAGTAATCAGAAATCCAGATTAACAATAAAATTTCAGAATTGGACAATGGAAAGTCATAGTAGCAGAATTGAGGCGGTAGAAGTCAGAATTAGACTGAAGATGAAGCACTTGATACCAACTTATTTGAGGAAAAATCAGATAAATGAATTTTAAAAAATGAAGAACTC